TGTCACAACGAATTATTGTGATCACTTTAAAAATGTTTACCGATATTATTGATGATGGTTTGCATGATGAACTTATTCTTTGTGATATGAGATGCTTGTTCCCGATTGGTGAAAAATATTACTAGCTAAATATTTGTGAATCGATATATGATCAATCTGAGTATGAAAGGGGTACGATATATATGGGCCCACTACCCCTCCATGTGTGCTACTAGATATTATGGATCCACTAGATAGCCACATGTGTGTGATTCGTAACCTGAAGTTACGAGATGATTTGATCAAAGAATGTGTATATGACATGTAACCTGAATTTACGAGATGGTTTGATCTAAGGATGACACAAGATGATTATGAAAGAATGAAAATAAGTGTCATATGAAAGTGATGAAGCTAGTAATATACTCACCTGATATGATGAACTCTTGAAAGAAAAATGTGCACACTACAAATGATATGAGTTCAAAGTCCTCCAAATATATGTTGAAATCAAGAACAAAATAGAGACTATATGAACTCCCCTCAAGAAATTCAATACTAAAAATACAGATCAGGAATCTGTTAAGATGAGGGAGAGAATCAATGATTGAAATTTGGAAATGATATATGCATCACAGTGAAAGTGTGCAAATCATAAACTATATGATACTGATGATGATGAATTATATGAAATGATATGATAGTGGAATAATACGCTGGAAGCATTGGTATTGTGCAAATTGAAATTCCCCGAATAAGTGATGAAAGAGGGTATATTTACTATTGTTGAAATCAATTGATAATGAGATATCTCAATATACTACGGGGAATAATGGAAATGAATAAGTGTCGACACAAACAAATGAATAGCGCTATATAAATGATATTGACGAGAATGAAATCAGCTGAAATGTGAATATTGGGAACTATTGGCAGTAACACCATTGAAATCAATTGATGATGAGAATGAGTTTAAGAATAAACGTTGCACAAAGCATGATATGACATATTGTCATGAATACCATCAGTATCTGAAAATCTGAACGAATTTATATGATACTCATACAAATTATGGAAAGATTATTATGGTGAATATATGAAATACGCGTTGTACTCTTTTTCCCTTGGCTAAGGTTTTGTCCCATTGGGTTTTCCTAGCAAGGTTTTTAATGAGGCAACAAGGATAGCGTATTCACATGAATAGTGTACTCTTTTTCCTTCATTAGGATTTTGTCCCACTGGGTTTTTCCTAATAAGGTTTTAACGAGGCATATTCATGGTATCATGAGCACTATTGGATAAATGATATGATTCCTCACGGTGATAAGAGAGACTGGAGTAGCTGTACTCTTTTTCCTTCGATCAAGTTTTTTCCCACTGGGTTTTCTTGACAAGGTTTTAACGAGGCAGCACACATGGATACTCCACTAAAGATGATCTATTTGAGGGGGAGCTATGTTGTGCTTCCACAATGCTCAGGTTTTGTCCCACTGGGTTTTCCTGAAGAAACAATGTTATGATTTCAAGATGATCAGGTTTTGTCCTACCGGGTTTTCCTGACGTGCTGAAGCAATGGTACCTGATGGCCACAAGATACACTTGAAGATGTGCAGATTAGGCTTTGTTCAAATCAGTTAAAATATGTTTAGAAAATAGTCATTCAAGGGGGAGTGTTATGAAATAATAATGTATGTGAATGACTATTTTGCCCTCGATGTATTTGTATTATTACAAATTGTGCCATCAGGAGTTTCCTATAAATAGGAGCTTCAGTTATAATGAAAAACACATCTAAGAGAATACATTTTCTCTATTCTCTCTCTTTCTCTCTAGTTTTATTACAAAAATAAATTTTTTCTTATTTTTCTAATTTATAATAATTTTAGAAATCGAGTTTGGCACAAAAAACGAGCTCCAGTATACAAAATTTGGTTTAAAAACTAACATGGGCCGCGCTGTAGGTGAAATAGGCCCAATAAACATGGCCTGCTAAGGGAAAAAGGGGCGCGGGCGTTTGGGCTCCTCGCGGGCCGCAGCAGGAGAGAGGGGAAGGGCCGAATGCGGGCCGATGGCGGGCTTTCGCGGGCCTGATAAACAGACAGAAAACGGGCCTCACGGGGGCCTAATGCGGGCTGGACAGCCCGGGCGTTTTCTGCTCCTCTGCTGGGCTGAAGGCTGGAAAATGGGCCTCCCTTTCGTGAATTGGGCCTGTACTCCGGGTAAAATAATAGAAAAGGGACGGGCTCTTCGTGGGCTGAACAGGCCTTCGGCCATGAATAGAGCTGCGAAAAAAACACTGCGAACAGAGAACAGAAGCTGGGAAATTCTGAACAGGGCTGAACCAAAAGTCGACCGAAATCGATGACGACATATCCAATGGCAACCGGGTTTCGAGAAGTAAATAAATTTTCCAAAATAACACGTTTTCTGATTTCGGACAAATATAAAATCGGGTTTTCGGGCCGAATAAGTGAAACGACATACAAGACTCGAACGAAACATGTACTAACAAGACGACCCGGAAAATTACAACGAGTCTCCAAATCTTGAACGAATAATTACAGCAACAAAAAGAGTTCGATTTCTTCAAATAAAACTCAACAGCAAGGCTCGATATTTTCGAAAACGAGAGTTCCAACGAATCTACGATAACATATACGAATAAATAAACGAATCGAAAGAAAACGACTTCAAACAAAAATTCGATTCATAGCACGATTTAGCCAACGGTTAAATACGAGCACGAACAAAATATAAAAGGAGGTTCACCGATTACCTTACTTCTGGAATTCACGAGCTCGGTTGGCAAACGGCGAACAAGACGGACGGGACTCGGAACATGAAAGGACGGGCTGAAACCTCGATAAATGGAACCGAGACGGCTGCTCGTGAACGGAAAAGGACGCTGACCTCGTCGACGGACACCCTTGGGCTAGGGTGGGCTCCAGCCCCATGTCCCAAAAAGAAAAACATATATCTAACTTAATTTTTTAAAATTTTTTATACATAGTCCCATGTAATTTTTTATTTAGCCCCATCTAATTTTGGGCTAGATATCTTAAGATTCAGGTCAAATTTGTTCATTTGATAATAATGGTAGAAAAATGATGATTATAGTGAGAAGAAAGAAGACAATCCTTTATTGTCAAATGACAATTGTGCATTTATTAGATTTTTATCAATTAGGTATATAATGTATATAATGTGGCCCAACACATTATGGCCTTTTAAATTCTTAATGGACTGACTTGACAAGTATCAAATGAGTTGGATAATTAAGCTTGACACACACTTTCTCCTGCGAGCTATTTAATTAGGCTCGTTTCATTGCATAATCCGTTATTCCATATTCATTTGTTTTTTGTGATTTCGCCTCCAATAATTAATTTGGCCTAATTTCCTCGACAAAGAAAAAACTCTTACAGAGTTAATCGCAAACATGTTCGACTCTATTTATTTGATCGACAAGTTCGATTAGCTATTTGGGTTTGGTTTGTTTAAACAATCTGCATAAACTTTCAAAATATGTCTCATAATGTTGGAAAGATTTTTTAAAAATTTGAGTTAATTGTGTCTGTTACGTAGGATTTAATGATAACGAGATACCTGAGATTAAATGGAGAAACTATATTTTTTATAACGTTTGCTTCTAAACAGTCTGACATGATGAAACTTTTTGTATCGTTAAGCTGAAAATTAAGTTTAATATTAGTAGTAAGCGAGCAAATTAGCCAAGTTTTTTTAAATCTAAAGTGCAGCTGACTATCATCACCTACTTCGTACAAGTTTTAAAACGGGATCTAAAGTGAAACTGACTCGGCCTGTATGACGTTGGACATCAACTTTATGTTGGGCATCCTTTTATTTAAGTCCATGGTTTACTTACCTATAGCTTTACACATAATGAAATTTTTGGGCTTATTTGACATATTTTTTTATATTCCAACTTCTTAATATCAATTTATATGTTTTTCAACATAATATCGATGATATTAAATATATTATAAACTTATTTATGTAGATTATTTTTATGATATATATCTCGATATGAAAATCTCCAACGTTTAATTTATTTTAATTTATACCATCACAATCATCGATTAAATTAAATCAGCCCAATTATATAATACAACCAATAGCTTTATTTTTCTATTTGTACTAATGAAATATTTGGTTATTATTAGTTATATATATTATATAATGTTTGCATTTATTATTTAGTGGAATTAGAGGAGTGTTTCATATAAAAGGTTTAGAAATTAAATCACCTAATATACTAACGAAATAATAAAGCAAATCACCTAATATACTAACGAAATAATAAAGCACCTCTTGTGTTCTCTGTTCACCCTAAGTTTTATATGTTTGGCGAAGCACTTAG